TGTTCGTGGATGTTTATACTTTCGGTGGGATTGGGTATAAGTTTTATGATTTTAGGTGGTAGATTTTTTAAGACCAAATTGGGTAGTAAATTATCTGTAGCGTTATTCGTAAGGGAGGGTTTTTAGGAGGTTCAGATATTTGGAGGAAGTACATGGAACATTATGTGTTTTAAGATTTTGACGGCCATATGGAATTGTTTGTTCTCGGGGTCGGTATCGGGAAGGGATTCGAGAAATGTTGAAACATCAGTAGGATATGGTACAGGTTTTACGATTTCAAGATGTAGGTTATTTTCGGCCAAAGTGGGTTGTAACTTACCGGTAGCGTTATTCGTATTGAAGCGTTCTTTTGAGGTTCGGATATCCGGAGGAGGTACATGGAGCAATATGTGTTGTAAGATTTTGATGGCCATGTGGGATTGTGTGTTCTCGGGGACGATATCGTGAAGGGATTCGTGAAATGTTAAAACTTCGGTGGGATTAGGTTGAGGTTTTACGATTTCGAGTTGTAGGTTATTTTCGGCCAAATTATGTTGTAAACTACCGGTAGCGTTATTCGTATAGAAGGGTTCTTTTGAGGTTCGGATATCCGGAGGAGGTACATGAAGCATTATGTGTTTTAAGATTTTGACGGCCATGTAGGATTGTGAGTTCTCGGGTTTATAATCAGAAAGGTTTTCGTGAAATGTTGAAACTTCGATGGTATTGGGTACAGGTTTTACGATTCCAATTTGTAAGTTATTTTCGGCCAAAGTGGGTTGTACCATGCCGGTAGCGATATTCAGAGAATATGGTTTGATTTCAGGAGGAGGTATGTGGAGAAGTATATGGTTTAAAATTCTGTGTGACAGGTTGTTGGTAGCGTTATTTATAGGGAAGGGTTTTTGGGAGATTTGGTTATCTAGAGGAGGTATACCGGGCAATATGTGTTGTAAGATTTTTGCGGCGATATCGGATCGTTTGTTCTCGGGGTCGTTATCGGAAAGAGTTTCGTAGTACGTTACTAAATTAAGCGCATAGTATACTTGTCCCTTCGTTTTTACTCCCGCCATTGGCAATCCTGTGTTAGCAGCACAGTCACCTGCTATGAACCTCGTCTCTAGATTCTGCCGGTCGTTGACTGGTCCGGCGGAGAAGTGTCGAGTCACAGACGACACAATGATATATGTGAGCGGCCGTTCTGGACGGTACTCCACGATGAAAACTTGCGTGAACGACTCTCCGTTCACGGTGACCATCAAGCGGTCAAGCGATCCTCCACACGGTACCGTAATAATCGAGTTAACGATTAACCTTGAGTCGGATATTGGTCGCATTAAAGCTATTGTTGCTTCCACCCGTGTTCTGGCCCAGACGACGGTTCCGTTTTCGAATACCGTCTGATACTCGCCGAAATCGTCGTAAAACTGATCTATGCATCCCGGTAGCGTACGCAATACCGCGTAGTAATGTTCCGCGTATTTGTAACCGATGCTAGCCGCGTTCTCGGTGATCGTGTCAGCCATCGTAACGTTTCCAAAAAATTACTGCTTTGTTGAGTATTGAAGAAAATGATTACGAATCTGTGTAAAAAAATAATATTTTCTTTTTCACAATCGTTTATTTTCTTTGTCGAATAATATATTTCGGTTTTTAGTTACAGTAATATGATTATAATTGAAACACGGTTGATGTTGTTTAGTAACGAAATTGATATTGGCCATCTATTAATTTGTTTTGTTCTGGTTACGTTAGACTGCGGTTTCGATAGTCATTCGCAATGACGTGATTGGGATTTTTTTAACGGGAGGGAACATGGTAAAAAATAAATAAATTGTACGTTTGTTGTCCCAAAAGTAAAGCACAGCGTGCTCTAGCTGTCTTGCCATGTGATATTATCATCTTATTTTAGTATTAGTTTGTAGCTTGAAGTCTAACGAACACGTGCGTTTTTAGTTTTAGTTGTTTTAGTAAAGTATGATGATGTGTGAGAGCGATAACGAAAGTGAGAATAATTCGTCGGCTCACATTTCTGTTTTTGAGCAACGCGCATACATTANGTTGACGGGTAAATATATTGGTGTGGTACTACGTATAAAATAAGTTCTTAGAGATATTGAATAGACGCATTGTATACTTTACAGTGAGACACTTGTGTTAAAAAAAAAATTAATTTAATGACTTTCTTATTGTAGCTATTAAATGTATTATTTTTTCAAATCCAAAGGATTAAATAGTAGAAGGTTTTACAAACTCTTTTTAGATAAAAAACGAAATTTCAAATTATTATTTCTTCACTCTAATGTTCGTTGGCTTTCTCGTAGAAAATGTCTATTATATTAATATTTTGTATTTTATTAAATTACAACTAAGTGATAGAATTAATTCTATATAAATTATATTTTATATAGAACTAAAATTATAATTGATCTTGATAAATCGAAAACAAGTTAACGATATTATACTGTGATAAATATGATTTGTCATTATTGTGAATCGTCTACTATAATTAAATACAAATAAGTTTTAACAAAGGGAGATCCACATTTAAATCGTTCATAATACCCGTTAAATATAGTTATACAGAATACCACACAAAACCAAAGTGATAATATACAATATATTTACATATAATCAACTATGGACCATTTTATGAGCTCAAATTATTTAGAGCTGTTTTGTAAGCAAAGTAAAGTCGTAAGCCTAATTGAATTTCAATCTGTAAATGACGTTATGAGAGGATGATAATTTTTTGGATTAAAACAATATATGCAGATCTCTAAAACGAAGTCAACGGGGTAGAATTATGTGTATTTACTCGGAGTTAATATCAAGTTGTTGTCATTTGAAGGTTAGGAATTTTAATCACTCCCCCCCCCTACTCTGACAATAAGTGTACTCAGATTTTGCCGTTTTGATGGGAAAAGGTATGAGTAGTAAGCTGTAGTATTATAATATCGTATTGTATTTTTATGTAGCGTTTGGATATTTAACAGTATAAAAAGAAAATATCTGAAATAATAAATAGGTGGGGGGGATTTTACTTTGTTAACGGAGATGTACTGCTCATGGGTGCTTTTTCTATTTTAATAATTTAAATACTTAGGAAAATTCTTCTTCCGCGGTACCGTGATTTGCGGAAATTCTTATCCTTGGTAATCGAATGCAACTGCAAAATCGTGTTTATCGAGTAAGATTTCCATTCGGTATTTCCAGTTATTCAGGTTTTTTCTATTGAAACGAGAAACTTTATATTTTTCTTTTTCCATGTTACTGAAATATTTATTACGATACGAACCGACTGTTAAGAATTAATTTATACCGAAACAAGTTTAATTTGTGGCTCGCAATGCGTTGTGAATAATACGAAAAAGCCAAAAAATGTTTATATTACCGTAAGGCTTAAAATAAGAAAAAAAACTAGTAGGTGAATATAGGTGATTAAATAAATAATACACTAATTAAAGCATGGTAAAATTGTACAATATAAGACGTGGTTTAAATCACCGAGCAACAATACCAGACGGATTTCCAATACATCCGAAACAAAATGATACATGTTAATGAAAAAACAAAAACAAATGACGATCATGTTGTGTATATCTTATGTAAAAATGTTATATTATAACACTTGAAATGCAAAACAAACACAAAGAAGGGGTATACATATTTTTGGGTTAGACATAATACAAATAGAAGGTATTGCAGGTTTAAAACAACCAAATACGTTCGAATTAGGTGACACCGCAGTTAATGGTCGTGAATTGAGTATCGGCTA